AGTCCATGTGGAGCCCTTGAACACCGGCAGGACTTAGGAACTCCTCAGCCAGGTGTGAAGAAGGTAAAGGTTGAAGTCAGTTCTTAAAATGCACCAATTCCTTGCTTTCTTACAATTTTTTTTTCAAAAAAGTATATATATATGTGTGTGTGTGTGTGTGTGTGTATACACACATACATATCTATATGTATGTGTATATAAAGGAAAATGAGCATTAGTATTCAGTTCCCAAGCAAGAAATAATAATCCAAGCATCATTGGGTTTTTAAGCAGCCACTTTACCCACCTAACTCTATTTTGCTCAGTCTTATGTTCAAATTCATTTTCTTTCTCTTGGCACATGCCAAATTCTGGCAAAGAAGGTATCCCAAAGTGTCCTGAATTCAGGGATTGGCTTTCTCATACTTTTGCTGTGGGCTATTTTCCCCCCTCCTAATATCAACATTGGCATTTTCTTTTTCTTTCATCAACCAATTCCAATTGTTTGTACAGAGGGAAATAGAGTTGCAAGGAACATTTTTTTTTTTTTTTTAATGTTCAGCACCGCAGAGGAACAGACTGGGACAGTGCAAGAATGACTATATGGTGTTGCTTGAGAAGCACCCACTAGTCACTAGTTCTTTGAAACAGAATTTGGAACAGCTGGACCACTGCAGTGCTTTATTTTAAAATAGACAACATATGTAATGCATATGGTCTTAGACATGTATGGAGACACAGGCAGACAATCTGAATGGTATCCAAAGACACCTGCACCTAGAATTCTGTTTCCTTCTATACAATTTTTTTTTCCCCCTAAGAGCACATGTTCCCACTTTTGGATTTTCAAGATACCATCTGAATCCCCATGTGTGTGACTCCTTAATAAAGTCGATGAGAAGTTTCCTGGATGAAGGTGTCAGAGTAAGTTAATAAACACCTCCTAAAGATGTGGCTCCTCTGGGAGACGGCAGAGGAAATAACAAATCAGAAACTTGCCCTCAAGAAACATATTATCTATCAAGGTATTCAGTTGTATGTACATTTAGGTATAGGTGTGTTCTCTTTGACAACAAAGGAATCGGAACGTATCCCCACAAAACCACAGAGGCAGGACATAGAAATTAGTTACACAGGGGCAGAGGAGACCCATAGATTAGGGAGATTGGGAAGAACTTCCAGCTTCCTATAAACAGAATGGTTCAAGATGCAAGAAAGGAATGGAGCATTAGCTATAAATTCGGAGATTTCATGCTTTTCACCATGAACATAAGACTTGCTTCAGGAGCACTAAAATGCCTGCCCTTTTACTATTAATGGGAACTCTGGTGGCACTAGTGTTTACTGAGCATTTACTGTGCCAGCCACTCCAAGTGCTTTACAGACACTTCATATCATATCCTCTTAACAACCCTCTGAGGGTAGACTTCAATACCAGCCTCAATTTATAAATGAGATTCAGAAACATTAAGCAACCTGCCTCGTGTCAGACTCCTAGTAAATGACAGTCTTTCTGACCACCCCTCAAGTCCACCTATTTAACTACCTACTATCCTGTTGTTGTTTCTTGCCCTTAAGTCACGGCAACTGGGTGCTCGACAGGATCTGATTGCTGTGATTTATAGAGTTGTCATTGGCAGGTTTTCTTCCTTTATTCCTAGTCTGTCTTAGCCTGGAAGTTCCACTGAAACCTGCTCAGCCTCACAGCAGCACACAAGTCTCCACTGGCAGGCGAGTGATGGCCCCATGTGTGGTGTATTAGCTGGGATTTGAACCTAGACGTCCCACATGGAAGGTGGAGCTTTACCTCTAACCCCACTGCCTTATGAACTATTCCCTTTGGCTTTGGTATATCAACAGTCCATAAAATCAAGAAATAGAAAATATTTGTTGAGAGGGTGAATTTATTTCTTTTGATGAAATAAGCTTATTATTTCAACAAATATATATTAGGTACCTACTGTGTGCCAGGCACTGTTCTTGATGTTGGGAATGTGGCAGAGAACATATAGTTCTTTTCTGCTCTGAAAGAGCTTAAAATCAGATCCTTTCTACTGACAAATTAAAATAGCATTGCAGGTCCCCTTCCCACCTTGCTTAATATAACAAGTTCAATGAAATTCTCAATGATTTCATGAGAATCAGACACCTCTTTAAACACTCTTAGTTACTGGAACCATTAAGATAATAAGCGTAATTCTGAGGTAATGATCATTTTGTTCAAGAAAAATCCAGGGGCTGTCCATTTTACTTGCTGGAAATTACCACTAAGCTCCATCCACACAGAGAGAAGAAGGTATGCATCAGATCTGAAGGATCATTAAATTACAGTCTCTGATAGCAGAAAGGGATCTGAGAGGTCAGCTCATCACAAAAGGAAACTGAGGCCCAGAGAGAGAGACAACTGAGCCAGCTTCCTACAGCTATTTAGAAACAGAGCCCAAACTAGAATCCAGACTTCCCAAATGCGGTCCCAGGCTCTTTCTCCATGTGGACCCAGGCACTATTTTAGGCTGCAAGGCAAGAAAGGAGGAAGGGAAAAGGAATTCTTATTTTGATCAGATTATTCTCTGAAAAGGAAAACAGGCTGATTTTAAGCATATTTTTCTATAAGCCTACTTTAAAATGCAAGTAAAAATGAAATTGTTCTTTAGACTTCCTATAACCCAAGAACTGGCACCATCAGTCTGAGTTAATTAGCTGTTTTGATGGTGGGGGAGTAGGGAGTGGGTCTGTATCCAGGTCTTCATCTAGGAGCCAAGTCACCTTTTCAGCTCCATTTCCTGAGTGGCCAGCAGGGCAAATAGCTCATCAGCAAAGTGTTCAAGAGGCTCACCAAATAAACAAAGAATAAGAAATGGAAAACAAGAGCCATATATGTATGTGTGTGTGTGTGTATAAAACTACAAAAGAGCCCCCTTCTCGCTCTGCTGAATGACCAATTGTACTGTCATAATTGAAGAGCAATAAAATATCAGAGCCAAACTGGCAAAGTAAGGCCCTGGCCGATTTGTCAGCTTGCAGCCTTTTACAAGAAATCCGAGAGTAAGAGGCTGATGCTAGCCAAAATGCCTGATCTCTTGTGTTCAAATCGGGAGGCACAGGGATGGTTGAGGCTTTTTGTGAGGATGAAACAGGATGAGCAGTTAGTGTGCACCTCACCTTGAGTTTTTCCAGCATATTAAATTGAACTCAGACTGACGAGGTGGAGGTGAGAAGCAGACTCTGTCAGCAGGGATAGAGAGGTGCCACCGGGATTGTTTGGGTGCCATTCTGCCAAGTGAAACCTAAAGATGGAACAGGTTTAACACACTGGGCCCTGGGTCTGACTCCAGGTAGGCGCCTAGCCCTTTGCACAGCAACAACTTCCTGGCCACCGCTCTTGCCAGCCATCCTGAGTCAAAGGAGGAATGTATTTTGGAGACCCAACAACCAAACAAAAGGAATTCTCCTAAATGGAGCCCTCAGTCAATTGAAGCACTGTCCTGAGAGCAAACCAGAGGCAGTTACCATACCCAAGAAGATTCTTTTAGATTCTCTAATACAATTCCTGCACAAGCTTTTGTTTCATCATCTTAACGGAGCAATTTAGCTATAAAAATACACATTCTTCAACTTGCCTTCTGGAAACCATTGCTCCTATGTGTCTTGGGCATAAACAACATGTCTTGTTCAAACAATTACCACTTGCTGCTTCTATGAAATTTAGCAGAAGATTTAAAAAATCTTAACAATAACAGGGCATAAATCTAACATATCATGCATTTATGTTTGAAAGATACACAAAATCAATAATAGTGTGAGGAGAAATCATCATCCTAAAGTCACACTGCTACCATGACTCGAGCTTTTATCCATACCTCAAGAATGGGAGAAAAAGTATTGCCTGGGAGGGAGGCCACGTGTGAAAACATTATCCAGATGCCTTCTCCAAATCAGAAACTGATTTTCCCATGTCCTGACAGCATCACTGGCAGGTCCCCATATTCCCATAGAATGTTGTATTCAAAGAGATAAATAAAATCTTGCTCGATTTGATATAAAATTCTTTTTCTGAATAGTCTGCATATCAGGAGAGTGAGTAAAGATGAGGTGGAGTGAATTGATTCCTTTCCTATATAGAACCTTCATTTCTACCTCTTTAGGCATTGCTTGGCCATACTCCACTTGAATTCTCTGAGTATTTTTTACCGGTTGAGTATAGTATATTTTAGTTACACGTGTTGAGATTAATTAGTTAGCCCTCAGGAGGTTTTGCCTACGGCCTTCACCCTGTAAGGAAAAGTGTGAATACATTGAGACTATTAATTCACAATAAATGGCAGACCATAGCCCTTGCTGAGTAAATTTCTGTTTGTCTCTTTTATAAACCTTGCTAACTGAGTAAGCCCACTATAAAGCAGTGTCCTTGGCCATCACAAATTAAATTCCCACTGAACTTATTCTCCAGATTTCCATGAAAATATTTTGTTTTTGTTTTTGCTTTTAATTTTGGAGGGTGGGGACTCAAACCTTTAATGAAACCAAATTGGCAATGGGAATTGGAGCTGGGAGGGTACAAATATTGTCACTGCTGAAAATCAGCATAACCCTTTTTCCAGACTATCCCAATAATTGTAGAGAAATTACTGTAGACATAACCACTGGAATGGCAGAATCTATTAAAAACATAAAAAGCTAAATAGGCTTTTATAAGCAAAGATCCGATCTGCTTTCAGTATTTGGTGAATACGATCTTATGCTTAGTTTTTAAAGAACAACATATAAATGCACTGGAATTGTGATCATTTGATAAACATGTTGATGCCAATATATTTTTGCCTAAATGCAATAAACTCACCAGTAAGTGATGCAAGTTGACAATGGGAGGTTAAAAGAATATCTTGGGGATGTTGGTGGGAGGTAATGGAGAAAGCGCTAGCGTTCATAATGCTTAGTGAATTCCTGTGTATTTGAAATGTCAAAGAAAATGTGATGTGTTTCTCTAAATTGTGTCTCTCTCTACATGTATAAATGCACAGACGCAGATAGAGCTCAAAAGCATGGCATGGATGAATTTATCTCTTCCAACCCCTGTAACTTTGACCACGCTTCCCTCTTTGAGATGGTGCAACGCCTCACTTTGGATCACAGACTTAATGATTCCTATTCTTGCCTGGCAAGTATATTCTTTGGTCTACAGCAATTTAAACATGAGAAATTTTTTTAAAAAAACATAAAATATTTCCTCACCTTTATGTTAGAAGCTCTTTTCTCCACTACAGAATCCCTTTACAATTTAAAAAGTGTTCATGATTTCCCAGATCAAGAGAGTTTTCCTTACCAAAGAACCAAGACTAAACAAGAGAAAGTTATCAGGAGAGACCACTCCAATTCCCCAGGCTCCCTATCTTAGCATCCCCCTTTTCAGCTGCTACATGAGAAATATTCCCATGAGGGTAATTGAGTTTGGCACCTGCTTATGGAGAACTTGTACAAAATCGCCTTGATATCTTAGAGTTTGCTATCTCCCTCCGTCCCTCCCCACCTCGGATGATAAGGCAGCGTGCTCCTGCCTCTTAAACGAACATGTGCTTTTATGTATTTTTTCAAAGATTAAAATGATCAGGAAATAAATTCCCTTTCATTGTTCATAAGTTAAAACAAATTGGTTTATTTAAGTGACTTTTGTTGCTGTTGTTCTTGTCATAATACACAGAGCATTTTTTTTACCTTTAGGGGAATTTTTTGTAGTACTTTAGATATTTGAACGTTGAGCTATCTAGCAGGAGCATCCACATTTCCTAAAATCCTGTTTTAAACCGTTTAAATATCAGTCTATGAGTCTAACGACTCATTTTTGGTCTTAAATGATGATATTCATAAACCTAAAATAAGACCCAATGTTTTTCCCTCTATATAAATGCTTAATTCATTTCTTAGATGTCCTTAATCCTGCTCTATAGATGGGAAAGGTAAGGGGAAATAATGAAATGACTTCCCACAGAGGAAAATTCTCATTCCTGACTCTAAACACTAAGGCAATTAAGGCTAATTTATCAATATTGTATTACTAATATATAGTTAACTAAGGTCAGTATATTATTGATAATAATACTTTATATTTGCATATTTTTCTTTCTAAATGACATAACTGTATCCTAAGTATCTATTTTGACTGATTTTTATTTTAGATTCCTTCTTTTTGCAATTCTTAGAAGCCAAAATATCAAAAATAGTAGGTAAAATACTCTTTTAAACAGAAACAGGATTATGTCAAATAATTTATTAATCTGCATCTCATAAAACATTCATTAATTATCTCAGGTTTAGAATCACTTCATCGCAGGAATCTGAACTTTGCCAAGTTGGAAAGGAACACATCATTTTGACTTAAAAACAAACAAACAAAAATGCTTACCTTGCATTACAAGGCGATTTTTCTCAAATGTTTCCTAAGATTATGTGACTATTTGTATAATTATAAATTGCATTTATGAGACTTATAGCTCTGAGTTTAAATCATTCTCTTTTAGGTATAATTTCTGTTTTCTGGAGTAATTTTTTTTGAGGGGCTTTTTTTTTTTTTGACAGGTTTTTTTTTATCAACATTTTTTAAAACAATTTTATTTTTAAATTCACCACTAAGGAAAGTTAGTAAACACTCTCTAAAAATCAAACCAAAAATGATTTTCAAATCTGTTCCTATTAGTTTCTTATAGACTTAAAAATATGGTACAAAATCCAAAATTAATTATGAAGAGCATAAAATAGCTTCTTTCCCCATGTGTATACCTGTATCTATTAACCATCACCCCAAATTTTTAAAAAATAACAGAAATCAAAAGGATCTTATCTCCTTCCTCTATATATTCCATTTTCTCATTATTACAATCTTTTTTTCAGTTGGTTTTGGAGACCGACCAGCAGGGATACATAAATTTTTCTGTGTCTTCGAATGAGTTCCTAATTGATATTTCTTCAACTCTTTTCAAAGCAGCTATTTTGGCATCTACAAAAGACTTGGTGTCATCTGAGTCGTAGAAAATATATTTTAATCTTTCACAGCAGTGTTGTTTCTAAGATTTAGCATTTGGGGTAGCAGATGGGGTGGCAAAGAAGTTGCCTATAGGGGCAGCCCACTGCCTCGACTACTCTCCCGCCCTCTGCAGTAACTTATAATTTGAAATAGGAAAGATGCCGTCTTTCCTTGGATGCATCGCTGAGCTGCATGTTGTCAATTGAAGATTCCCCAGATCCCTAATAAGAGATGAGAGCACTGCAAAGACCTCCTTTGCTGCACTTCTGTGGCCTCTGCCTGTACCCCAGTCACTTTCTCCTTTTGCCTTTTCACTTCCACAATAGAGCACTATTCAAAAGATGACTCAGAAAAGACCCTCAAAGTAAAACTAAATTTATATTCAAAACAGCTCTAAATTTCCAGCTTACAAAGGATCACCTAAATTGGTTAACTTTTTGCTGCAGACAGGCACTGACACCAAAAGACATGATTTGATTTCAGGCTCTGCTCAAGGGTGACCTTGAGTGACAAATTGGAAGAAAGGTCTGATGATCTGTTTCCAAAAGGTCACAGACATTGAAAACCTTACAAAGCACAGTACTAGTCTGACACACATGGGGTCCCCATGAGTCAGAGTTGACCTGATGACAACTGATTTGGTCTGATTTTATTTTCTTAAGTGCATAATGAAGGTGACAGTTTGTATCCCATGATGTCACTCAGTCTGCTCAGAACTACAGATTCCATCAGTGTTCTCTTTTATAGCAGAGTTTGGGCTGGTCCCACACCAAGTAAATAAATAATAAGAAAACAAATAATTGCTAGGACATCAATAAAACGGAACACTAAAACAGAGGACAAGCAAGTACTCTCAGTTTAATTGAATCATATCTGGTTTACAACTTGAAAACTAAGTCATACTATTGTCTTTGAAGAGTTATGCTAGTACCCTCATTGTAAAATAAAAAGGATGTTTTCCAAAACAAAAAGATTTATGAACTCTGGCATATGGTGGCACAGTGGTTAAGCACTCTACTGCTAACCAAAAGGTCAGTGGTTCCAACCCAGCAGCCACTCTCTGGGAGAAAGATGTGGCAGTCTGCTTCCTTAAAGATTACAGCCTTGGAAACCCTATAGGGCAGTTCTCTCTGTCCTATATGGTTGCTAAGAGTTGGAATCAACTCGACAGCAATGGGTTTTTGTTTTGGTTTCGCATGTATATAGACCAAGCCCAATATATATATATATATTTGTTGTTGTTATGTGCTGTCGAGGCGGACCCGACTCATAGCGACCCCTCCTTGGGTTTCCGAGGCAGTATCACTACGGAAGTAGGATTGCCCAACCTTCCTTCTGAGGAGTGGCTGGTGGGTTTAAACTGCCAGCCTTCTGGTTAGCAGTCAAGTGCCTTAGCCACTATGCTACCAGAGCTCCTATATATATAAACTCTTTGGAGTAGAGAAAACAGAGATTTAAAGTAAGATAGAAGTGGGTTTGAGCCTTGCATCTGCTTTATATATCTGTGTGGGCCAGTTAACAGCCCTTGTTTCCACTTGTTATCTGTGAAGTAAAGGTAAACCTGCCCTGTCTACCCCACAAGATAACTGTAGGGTTCAACTGAAAGTTCTTTGTCAAGTGTAAAGCAGTGTATCAATTTAAAGCCTTAATGTTGTTATTTTATCCGTAGCCCAAAATTTGCCCCCTACCTACCCACAAATACTCTTTTAAGATGCATGGTTCAATGTTAGAGCAGTGGGTGACTCTAGTTCTAGAATCATCCTGTTGGCTATTGCAGACTTCACTACTTAACTAGCTCTGGGAAAAATGGGAAAATTCTACGTCCTCCCCAAACTCAGTTTATGCATTCATAAAACAGGGATTACAGTACCTACCTTATCAGGCTGTTAGGAGGATTAAACTAGCTCATAAAAACAAACAAACAAACAAACAAACAAAAACCAAACTCACTGCTGTCGAGTCGATTTCGACTCATAGCAACCCCTCCTTGGGTTTCCAAAGCGGTATCACTATAATGTATTTGGCACAGTGGCTGGCACTTAATAAGCTCTCACCATGTGTTAGCTCTACTTATTTATTAATACCCCTGTCCAGCCACACTGAACTTTAACAGCTCCCTGGAAAACAACCTGTATTTAAAAGAAAGCCTCTCCTTTATTCTCCAAACAGGGCTGGTTCAGTCCTGGCCAGGTGTTTGTACTAGATGAGTATTGCGCCCGAAACGGAGTCCGAGGGTGTCACCGACATCTCTGCTACCTCAGAGACTTGCTTGAGCGAGCAGAAAATGGCGCCATGATTGACCCCACCCTCCTTCACTATAGCTTTGCCTTCTGTGCATCCCATGTCCACGGGAACAGGTAAGCATGTGTCCAGAAGTGTTTCAAGGGTACTGGCAATGGTTTATAATTGATCCTGTTTTTAGGATCATACATCCCTATTCCCTCAGTACTCTGTACACAAACTCCTCAGAGGTACAAGAGGCTTAAAAGGAATGGCAAAAGGCACCTTTAGCACAGTCTCTGAAGTTAGACCAACTTGGGTTTAAGTCATGGCTCCTCCATTTATTAGCAATAATCCTGGTTGTTGATTAAACTCTCTGTGCCATAGTTTTCTCAAAATGGGGATAATGATAGTGTCCTCATATTGTTGTTGAAATAATGCAAGTGGATATAAAGGACTTAGTACAGTGCCTGGAGCATGACAAGAACTTGATAAATATTTACTTTTGTCATTGTCATCATTCATTCATTCACTCCAAAAATAATGAATTACTATTTATTACGTTTCAAGTAGGAGACCTGGTGGCACAGTGGTGAAGCACTGGCTACTAACTGAAAGGTCAGTGTTTCAAACCCACCAGAGAAAGAGGTGACAGCCTTAGAAACCCTATGGGGCAGTTCTGCTGTGTCCTGTAGGGTCACTATGAGTAGCAATCACTTCAGTGGCAGTGAGTTTGGTTTTGGGGAAGTATCAGGTAGTCTGGCAGGCATTCAGCATACAGGGTGAGCAAAAACCAGACACCCAAGGAGCGCAGAGTCACATACAGATTGGTGCTTTGAGGAGAAGGAATAAAGTTCCATGATAGCATTTAACAAAGGAACATGACTCAGATGGGGTGGCAGGATGTCAAGGAGTGCCGCCCTGAGGAAGTGATGCTTGAGGTAAGAACTGAGGCATGTGTAGGAGTTGAGTGGTTCCAGGCAAAGGGAACAGCATGTACAAAGGCCCTGAAGAGGGAGGGAACCAAGTACATTCCAAGAGCTGAAACAGGCTCAGTGAATCTGGAAGACAAAGATGATGATAACACTTATAATTTAATCATAGAGCTTGGAAGAACTTTGGAGTTCACAGTCTAATCCAACCCTCTCATTTTATAGATGTTATAGATAAGACCAGATAGTCAAGTTTCCTGATTACATACTAAGTGTTCTCTTTCTCTAGACCTTGCCCAGTTCCTGGAAGAAAAGATCCATGTTCTGAATAATGCAAACCAGCAAATAATCTAAAAACATTGCCATTTGGCTCTGGAGACATGGAATAAATTTCTACACTGCCACAGCCAGTTTACTCTCCCTGGGTGTGTAGCCTCACATTAGAATAAAAGCAAGCCTATATTATCCCAGGGCACTCCAGGCAGCACCCAGAAATATACTCTGTGGAACCCAGCCACAGATGCAAAAGATGCTGCTCTGGGAACTTCACATGTGGGAGAATCCGGAGTCAACTACAATTTTAAAATAAGAACTCTGTCAGTTATCTTCACCTTTGCAAACTATACAACTCTGAAGTATCTGTGGGATTTGCTCTTTGCTTTTCCTCTCTCTAGTGCTGGGAGATTTCATGATATGCAACTTGAACATTTAGAGCTAGATAACAATAGCATTGTCGATTTGAACATTTAACAAGCAACAAGGTTATCATCACCTCCCATTGTTTTAAGATTCACTAGCTCAGCACATGACCTTTTATTTACATAAAAGGTACTCATGAAAACTTTGATACCTGGGAGGTATCTGTGCATTATTCTGCTTTTTATAAATATGTACACTTTGATGACGATCTGTTACAGCCTCTTGGACTGAATTCTTTAAAGGGAGAGAGAGGGAGAGAAGTTGCATTATATTCTCTGGGTTGTCACACTGTATTCTACATATGTTACTGAATAAGAAAGTGTTATAAAATAATGAAGTGTTTTTGTAAACCCCCTGGTAAACATCATCATGAATTATGATACACATTGTCTGGATTTCATATTGTAAGACTGCCACTTGATTCACAGTTAGGTTTATACATCTTGTCATGGAAACAGTTTTGGATTTCTTATTTTCTTTTCAGTTCTGATTTTCCTTATGCAAGTTTGCATCTTTTTTTTTTTTTTGCTTTTGCTTATTATTTTAGTTTGAATGCATTTGCTCTTGCTTTTTGATGCATCCTTCTTTTTTTTTTTTCTTTCTTTTGTTTGTGCATGCATATGTACACTTGATTCTCCTGTGGCTGGCCACAATCTGTGCATGCCCCATGTGACCACCCCTCTCCAAAGTCAACAAATGCATGTGTACCTTAGTGGACTGCTACCAAACACAGACCCAGAAGGGAGCAAAATTCCCTTCCCATCTGAACCAGAGGCTAAAAAAGATACCAAAAAGGAATCCAAAACAAGAAAAGATTTAAAAACCCACACAAATCCAGAGCCCAAAAGGTAAGAAGTTCTGTATATATTGGCTTGTGTTTTGCAGTGTCTTTGGTCTTTCCCCATTCCTCTGTCCATGCCACCACTACCACCTTAGAATACAGCAAATCTTGTCTATTCCTGAGATCTCTGTTTCTTTAAGATTTTTCACAGGTTTGCAATTAAAAAAAAAATCCCAGCAATGGGCAAAATATGAAAATTGGGACTGAGTTTCAGTCAGGTATTTAATGACTTTTGAAACATGTTCATGTTGAAAAGACTAATTGAGCAATATGTAAACAGAATCATGAGTCAGATTGCTTTTTCAGTGGCATCTTGTTAGGAGCCTGTACCTTACCAAGTTGTTCATAATAAGCAACCTGTGCTCTATAATTTCTAAATGATGTATAAAAAGCAAACAAAACAGGTTGGCATAGATGGATTTGTAGGAGCTCTGGTAGTGTAGTGCCTAAGGCATTTGACCACTAGCCAGAAGGCTGGCAGTTCAAACCCACCAGCCACCCCTCGGAAGGAAGATTGGGCAATCTATTTCCATTGGGATACTACCTCAAAAACCCAAGGAGGGGTCACTATGAGTCAAATCGACTGGATGGCACTGAGTTTAGTTTTTTTGTATACATTTGTAGAGTCCCTGGGTGATGCAAATAGTTAATGTCCTCAGCTGCTAACCAAAAGTTTGGCTGTTCAAATCTACTCAGAGACAACCTGAGAAGAAAGGCTTGGCTGTCTGCTTCCAAAACCTCAGCCATCGAAAGCCCTCTGGAGCACAGTTCTACTCTGACACACAGAGGGTCACCATGAGTCAGAATCAGCTCAATGGCAATGAGTACTAACTAGATACACATTTCTAACAGTGCCTTCAGTTCTCAATAAACCTCCCTCAGTTTGATATTCTGACTCACAGCAACCATATTGGGTTTCCAAGGCTGTAAATCTTTACAGAAGCAGAGTGTCTCATCTTTCTTCCATGGAGTGGCTGGTGGGTTCAAACCAGCAACCTTTTGGTTAGCAGCCAAATTCTTTAACCACTACACCACTAAAAAAAAAAAAAAAAAAAAAAAGTCAGTCACTGCTATCGAGTCAATTCTGACTCATAGTGACCCCAAGGAGGGGTCGCTATGAGTTGGGGCCGACTCGACAGCAAACAACAACAACAACAGTGAACTCTTATATCACGAAGTCATAGAAGAGCTTTAAGGTACTATGAATTCTAAAATTATGTTTATTCTCTTGTTTCCTATGTCTTTTAGGGCTACTGTCATTGGGAATTGATAAATTGGCAAATTGGTGACTTTTTTTTCCCCTTTGAAATTAGATTTATTAATTATCTCCAGTGTTATCATTGTGCACTTCTCTACTTTCTCTATTCTCTTGCCATATTAACAGTGACATGTTAAAATTTTGTTGTTTTAAAACTGGTGTTCTGCCCCTGGCATTGACAAGCTACACAAAGTTTGTAAGCATGTATGTTTTGTGCTTCAGTATAGGTTTATTTCTAATCCCTGAAATGTATACAGTTCATTTGTAGAGAGATGAAATGATAATGCCAACTTTTACTTCCTAGAGAATGTGGCAAACTGTCAATCAGTGTACTATGTACGTGCTATGGTGAAGGCCAAAGAAAACCCTGATTCCATGTATCCACCCATATCCAGCACCCGCTCTATATAAGGATGGAGATGAAGTGGGGTTTCTGTTTGTGTTTTGCTGTGAGAGTCACACTGGGAGGCAACAGTAGCTTGCAGTCAGTAAGGAACTGCATGGAGAATGTTTTGGATGCCTGAAGGTCAGGTCTGACAGAATGACAGGCTGTCAGAGAGGAAGCTTCCCTGGCTGCTGTCCAAGGTGCTGCTGTAGGAACGCAGGCTGATCCGCACGAAGCAAAGCAGAGAGCAAATGGCCACTGTTAAAAGGCAACACTCATTCAAGCCTGACCTATTCCTTGTGCCATGACAAATTACCCAAAAGAATCTCAGATGGTGCTTTGAGAGGCTTATCTGTGTTCCAGAATCTATGTTTGTATTAGATGTTTTTTAATTAAGAACTGCAACTATTAAGTATCAGTTGTATAGCATCCTACAGTTTACAAAGTATATTCAAACATTTTCTCTCATTTGATATAATATATTCAGGTTAGATATTCTTTCATCCATGCAGATGATGAAACTGAACATATGTAAAATTAAGTGCAAAACCCTTCCTCTGGTTATTACATCAGCATCGTACTTAGATTCTGAAGACCTGAGTTTATTCCACATATACATAGGAGTGCCTTATCTCCTCTCTGTGTCTCATTTTTTTCTCATCAGAAAAATGAGCAGATTGAATCAGAGCATTGTAGTATCTCTTTTAGCTCTCACATTCCCTTATGTGAGTTACAATCAAAAATAAAATAGCCCAATTGCCAGGTTTCATAAATAAGGTTCAATTAAAAGAAATATAATTGTTACCATTTAATGAGTACTTGCTATATGCCAGGCAATGTGTGAAGTGGTTTACATATGTTTTCTCATTTTATTCTTATTAAATTCCTATGACACGAGTATTATTATTACCCTCATCCAACTGATGAGGGGCTTGAGGCTTAAATAAATTTCAGTCCCTTGCCCAAAGCCCCACACCAAATAAATGTCTGAGCCTGATTCAAACATGGGTATTCTGACTTCA